ACGCTCGTGCGCCCTTCCTCTGATCGCAAGCAGTTGAGACATCTACGATTGAACGCGCAAGATCCCATTCGAGGCCCCTTACACAACCTTCGAGAGGGCGAGCGTAATTTTTATCTCGATAAGCTTCCTTTGCGGTATCCTTTCTCAGTCTAGTTTCCACGATACCTTGACCCCAAAATAGGATGTTGGAACTAAACGGGAGGAAAACGTGGGAACTTAGCAGTATCCGACCACTGATAAGCACGGGAGACTTCCTTTCGTGGTCTGCCCATGCCCAGTATGGACCTCGAGCAAAAGTATCTTTGTCAATTCTCGTGGTTAGATTGGAGGAAATGGATTCTGCCGTTGGGGGTATTCCTAATCCATCTGCGAAATGCAAAGGTTCCTGAAAGTAAGAACCCTCGTGGAATAAAGGTGCTTCCTAGATGGGTAAACGGATATACTCACTATCATCCACGATGTTGTAACTTTATTCATACCTTTCTAGAAGGCTACCAGGTCCGGAATGGAATAAACCTAATCTTGGGGTTTATTCGTGCGGAAGACGAGAGTTACGTGGTATTTTGAACTCTATAGTGTTGCGGAGTGTGAATTGCCCCAGAATAAAACTTTGACGGCATTTTCCCACCCGGATAATTTCTGGCTTTGATTGGCTTTTACTTCTCTGCTCAAATTTTCGTGAACATCTCATTGCCCCAGACCATTAACGATCGCTGCTTCGTCGTTTGTTATACATCACCTCAGACACTAGCAAGACTGTTTGCGGCTATCTTTTTACGAATAGCCTCCCCAGGTATTTTTATTATACCGTCAAATGTCTACAGGAGACATTGTCTTACAGGCGCAGACCATAGATCGTGACGAATAGGTCTCGTGCATGGACGTTTTCAAATATATATGCTTAAATGATGGACTATAAGGGCGCTGTAGCGACGCCTAGACGTCGTATATGAGGTCCAGGTGCGATGCTTTCAGTGGCTCTGAAGCTTCAGTCGGTATCGTCGGTGCACGGGACGTCTGTGATCTGCGCTTCTCCTTTGTGGTCTCTAAAGCTTACAGCAGTCTCTACATTATATGCATGACGGATCGGGTTTGCGCATTGCGGTATTGTTATTGGCTCTGCCGGCGACATGATCGATACGGTGCCCCAAACTGACATGCTTTTCGAACCACACTTAGCATGATTTTTGTAGTCCCGCTCATAATTAATATTCGCTTGGAGGGATTTCGCATTCTCCACTTCAGGCTGCCTATTTGTTCACATAGAGGATAAATATCGTTGGTATCTACGACTGGATTGGTATAGTAAAATATTTGCGTATATTTAGTCTATTAATCAAATTAAAGAAAGAAAAAGGTATACGTAACTCCAGACGCCTGCAAGAATAAACAATGAAGAGTAATTAATATTCAAAAAAAATAAAAACCGGCGAAATATCCCCAATCACGACTTTTGTGCAACACCGAACCTCTTATTCCCATAATCAAAAACAGAATAAACGCCCTTAAAGAAGATATCGCCATAGATCCAGGGTAAGGTCGAGGAATCGCCGAGACTCTGAAGCCCACCAAAGCACATGGTGCCTGCAGAGTTTGCGTACGCATAAGTCATATATTTCCCGGGGACGTTAATCCAGTTATTGCCGACGGGGAGGGAGATTGTTGGCATGCTGGATGAACTGTCGGAGGTGCAGGGGTAAACCCAAGCACCCATATCATCTCGGTACGATGCACCTGAGACTTGTGCGTAGTAGAGTTTGACAACGGAGGTTGGCATGAGGAGTAATGTTGAGCCAGTATCTGTCATGGCTATTAGTATTTTTGCTTTAGAGGCTCTCTGGGGACCAGTGAGCAGACTTACCAGGAACAGCACCCTTGGAGTTAGAAGCACCACTAGTATAAAGCTTTCCATTGACTTTGATGCCTTTGGAAGCGGCAACATGCCACCAACCCGAGTTTAAGATCTTGGCCCACTTGACCTTCTTAGTGTACTTCTGGCTAACGAACCCCCAAGTATAACTTCCGACCGTCCCTTTCTTTAGGTCGGCAGCGAAGACCTTTGACTTTAGTTGAGGCATGGCATTCTCAATCCATGTTTTCTGTTGGGTAGGCGAGACTTGGTTTAGGCTACTGAAGGCAAGTCCAAGTAATCCGTCGCCTTCGAAGTCTTCGAAACCGCTCGTTATCGTATTCGCCACTTCGACCGCCTGTTTAGCAACAGTAATACCGCCGATTTTGACACTATCATTAACGACCGTTCCAGAGGCGCCACTGCTATCCGCGTATGTTATCGACCATGTAAGGCCGCTGGCGACTTTTGCTGAGGTCCCGGGTGTATAGATATTGCCGCCGTTTTGCTTGTGTTTTGTTTGCAAGGTAGATGATAACTGGTTGGAAAAGACCCAAAGATCTGAGCTGCCGGTGTCGAAATCCATATTCATCTTTTGGCCACCGATTGTGATGGGTGAAAGATACATTGTATCATATGCCACCGGGCTAGCGATAACGGTCCCGGTGCGGCTACCTCTTTGTTGAAGTTTGGAAGTTTTTGTGTAATTAAGTAGACCGGGTGGAATGACTAAATCTGAAAAATGACGTTTGTATTTCAAATATGCCTTTCGAAGTTCGTGGAATCCATCTCGTTCAAAGGCTGGATTTGGCACCACCGGTATGGAAAATCTCGAAAATGAATTTGAGTCCTCAGTAGAATTGGAACCCAGATTGCCAGTTGCTGCGGCTACATCGGAGTCTACATCGACTTCTAATGGTGCTGCAAAAACCGCCGAGGCGGAGAGAAGGAGTGTGAATGTTCTGTAGTGCATTGTGAGGAAGTAAAGTTTATGTGAATGAATGTAGGCAATCAGACTTTGTAATCAAACGATTGAGCTGTAACTACAAACTAGGGCACAGATAATGAAACTGTCGAAAAGGAAGGAGGGGAGAGACATTCTGGACCGACTGGGCCATGGGGGTGGATGTTATATAGCTGCTGGTAGCTACTACGAGACGGCGCCAGCGACATGAAGCTCGACTTGCGGAAAAACCTCGGTGGAAAAGACCTTCTAGCGAGAGGGCTGTGTCCCCAAAACAGCATCCTTCTGGAAGCTTGGGCGGAAGAGTATCTAGGAACGTTTTTTTCATCTTAACCTTGATATTCAGGGCCTTTCGCCGGTACAGAGGGGCAATTTGCTTGGAAAGTATCAGGGGATTCTGTGCAGATTGTGGTATTTTCTGCGTTGCGAGCCGGCCGTTATAACCGGAAACGGTTCCCAGCGAAGTCAATATGCCATGGCGAACTTTGAAATTTGCTGTTTATGGAAAGGAAGGCGGATCGGCTAGATTTATTACCACTGAAGCTAATTAAGCTAACGAGGGCCTACGCATTTCGAGACAGTGGTCCGTTGGGTTCCAGACATTCTTCCTTGGCCTCGTCTCCTGTCGAAGGGACGAGTCATTACCAAAAGCCGAACCGAAGGCGATTCTAGGCACTGAGGCTTCAGAATTCTCGGTGATGATCAGCCCTCTATAGCAAACCTTCACACATAACCTGCGTGACAAGTTATGCAAACCAGAGCGTTGAGTTTCTATTCTCTACAAGACTATGATCTATTGGTCTAGAATATTAAGGAGCGAGATCGAGCCGAGTCTGCTCACATTATCTCGTAGACTCAAATCGGTACAGATATATCATTTGGGGCTTCTATATCAATTTTGCAAATTACAGGACCAGTGTAATGAGGAGGTCACCCCGACTCGCACTATGAAAGGTCAGGACTTAAACCTAGTTTCGAATGACATCACCAACACAGCGCGAGTGACTTCAGCTGTTGGATGTTGGGTGAAACTTGGAGCCTCTCAGCCAATGAAAAGGGTCGGCCTGATTATTCATCCGTTCCGACACCCTCTCATGTGATTGCGTGCAGTTATTCAGTTCAGTTCAGTCATAGAGGTACGGCTTGTAGCGCGCTTTGATCGCGAGCTGAGTCTTCAAAAAGGTCTTAAGCAGGTCTATTCGGAGAAACTAATGCTTCCTCCCGATAGTCGTTGGGCTGTCGGTTTCTGAGCTGAAAGCTTCGGGATGTTCTATAAGAATGGGCTTTCGGCCCCACAGTCGCTTCCAGTTCTGGCCTAACTGTTGATATTGATAATATAATTATAATATATCTCCGCTTGCATCAATACTATTAAATCGTTCTATCAAACAATAGTATCTCTGACTCTCAAACGTTTCGCGATTTCCCTACCTTTACCCAATTAAAACGCAAGCATGTCTGACCCCAATTGCCCAGCCGGAAAGACCAAGTCCGAGCTACCCACACCTGTAAGAAAGCTACTTTTAAACTCTATTCCTTGCCTGTGCCTTCCAATAACTAACTTTTTTCTTACCTGCCATAGCTCGGCTTCTGCTGGGTCGAAATCCCCGTCAAGGACATGAAGCGTGCCCTGAAGTTCTATGGCGATGCGTTTGGGTGGACTAGCAAGGTAGAGAACATGGGCTCATACCAAATCGTCGAGAATCCTTTCAAGAACCTCAACGGCGCTCTCCGTCTTGTTACGGAAGAGGAACACGTCGCGGGGACTGCTGCCCGCCACACTCTGAAACCATTCATTGGTCTTCATAGTATCGAGGAACCGTTGGCCAAGGTTAAAGAGGCTGGAGGGGAGATTATCAAGTAAGCTCTGGCATCCATTTCTTGATCCAGCACTGCGGCAAGCACCGAGTATATACTGGAATGAATACATATTGACGGTGTTTCTAGTCCCGGTGAGGAAATTCCTGGAAATATGGGCTTCTGCGGCGAGTTCTATGACTCCGAGCGCAACGTTGTTGGAGTTTGGGCTATGAAGATGTCGTTGGATGGCAACTAGCGGCCTCGAGACTAGGCCACGGGTATATTTCTGAATTCGGAAAGCGAGAATGCATATCCAAATTGTAAAATAGTGGTTGTTATGCAGGAATTATGAACGCTTTTTGGATCGTCGATCCTCATCCAAGAAAGGCCCGGTTAGCTCAATCGGTAGAGCGTAAGACTCTTAGAATACGGGGTTCAAGCCCCGTTTCCATGGCATTGGCAATCTTAAGGCTGTGGGTTCGACCCCCACATCGGGCTGCGTACCCCGTTTCCAATTGGAAACTGGTTATTTTTTTCTGTCTTTTTGCTGTATTTTCTGGGCGGCCGCGATGTTTTAGATGGATGAGTCTTTGAGCTTCCCAACAAGGTTGGCAGGTGAAGAGTTTTACTTACTAGTGTGGTTTTTTTTCTATTTGTGCTACATTTCTGGTGTGTTGAAAAATCCACCCATGCATTGTCCCCTGTAAACGTTCGCTGGATTCGAGAGTCTCAATGAGACGACAAACTTATACGGAGACGAAGGAACATAGTTATGATATCTGGATCTATGCCTTTGTATTCGGGGGTCGATAGAGCGATTTAGGACTTTGGGGGGCGAATAACGCTGATTAACTTGTGTCCGGCTTGTCTCGCGCCGTCAGCCGTGCGCTCTCCGAGAGTTCGACTTGGTTTCACAAACATAGCCAAGATTGTGGTTATGATATCGATATATAGTATCGGGATCTCTTGGTATTCGTCCTCATCTCTAGGCATGGAAAATTCCGCACAGTTACTGCTCGAGCGCCGCATATATGTCATATTAGCCAAAAACCTGACACGGAACTCAAAAATGCCTCTTCGAAATAATTGCAAAACAAAAAAAATCCTTCCTTTCTGTGACACAGGATCTAATCGTTATATTACCCGTGTCGAAAGAAATTGTTCGCTAAAGATTTCTCCATTGGACCTTTTCGGCTAACAGTGTGCATAAAACCATAATTTTCCAACGCAGGCGGGCAATATAACAATAGCCTCGATTTCCAATTCGGAACTATAGCGAGGTTAAACTTGTGGTACCTTTTTCTTAAAGATCTTAGGTTGATAAGACGGGTTTTATTCGGGGGTGTTAGTTAATTTGCTGGGGCTATAGCTATAGAAGCTTGGTTCTCGTCGTCCAGAACGGGAATTGCGTTATGACCTTTTACCCCGGAAATATATGCGCGCATGCCGGCCCCTGCAGCATCATAAGGTATTTTTTTCAGCTCTGTGGCGACTTTCAGGCAGTATGCATATGCATCTCTATGCAAATCGAAAAAGAAGATTGCACAAAGGTGGAGATAAGTTTCGTCTCATTTTTTTTTCTTACGCTAACGAATTTGACAAGGCGGTTCTAGACCTCTGATAGCGGTATACATCCAACCTTGGTACTAATCAGCTGTATTCCCCTTGTATATCGTGGTAATCGTATTTTGGCGAGCAGGCGGATGTGTCGCCGGCGCGCCCGTCGAAAGCCGCCACCAAAAGCGCCACCTGCAAATATGACTGGTTTGGAAGCTGGCCCTATAGCATCGGGGATTTCAGGGTATAACACTTTTCGTGGGAGGTAATACTATAAGCTAGGTTTTGAGGCTAGCAGTAAGCTTTGACTGGGTGCCCTGCATAGTGCATGCATGGAACTAATGTCGTACAAACAATAAGTTTTCTTGCACGATTCTACAGCTGGTTGCTGACTACTCGTGTTCCACCACGCCGTCACTTCATAGTCTTAGTTAGGCTCGAGGCTAAGTCTTAGTAGGGGAAGACACTAGTTGTAGTAGCACAGGCTTCATCTTAGTTTTACAGCCTTATTTCGAGGGCCCATATGGTCGAGTAGCGAGATGTGATAGGCCTGTAGAGATATCGGGTGCTCCAACTGCAATGATATTATGTTGCTACACACTTCTCTTAGTGATAAGCCTCGTCTTAGGGATACTAAAAATTTAATATTAGAAGCTCTCAAAGGGATATATTTGTGTGTATTAACTACACTTAAGCATTTCGCAAATTGGTTCTCATCTGGATCCGAGCATGCCTCCGGCATATCCCGCCGGTAACTTCGATATTAGCCTTTGAGCCGCTTTGATTGGTCCCGGTAGACCTGATATAGGTATACGCGTAGCTCAAGGCGATTTAGGCCAAACACTTAGCTATAGAATTATCACTTATTGCTATCTACGCACGCACGACAACTTACCGTATCCGGATTGACTCCTATACTTGGGCACTGAGATAGAGGTACCTAGATAGAGATTCGAGATGTAGCTTTCGCAGCATCCACGGCCCGCATCACCGTTCCTGATGCCCGGATTTCAGTCTGAACATGTCGTGATCTCCCAAGAAAAAGATAAGTTGCAGATAAACGTGAAAATTCTCAAATCTTCAAGTGCATGCCGATAGCAAATACCAAGGAAAAGGACCCTCTCGCTCCGAAGAGGCACGAAAACCCTTCCTGCACATCACCATCCCATGATATGTCGTGATACAGAGAACCTTGTAAAATTCAGCCATACCTTACCGTTCCAATAATTTGTAATTGCCATCCGATTAGTATACTAGGCTGTTACACAGCCGATATAGAGCGAATATGTCAACCCCCTTCCCGCAATCCTAGCGAGGTGCATCAGACCATTCCAGCCTTAATCATCCGGAACCTAGTATGGATTTTCGTGATCGCGTAGTACCGAGTTCGGCTGAGGTCTGGGGGTTGAGCGAGCTTCGCCAGATGAGACTATTCCCATGGGCTGTACCTTAATCTCCATACAGCTCTATGTAACCGGCATCGAGAATGTTGGTCAATTCAGCTGAAAGAATTGAGAACGATAGGAGAGAAGAGGGGGGGGTCTATGCGTGTACGACCGTCTATAAATACGGAGACGGGAACCCTCCTCCTCTCGACTTTTCTTCATCAAAGGCAGCGATCAGCAACATTCCAGGCAATACTGCCAGGAAAACCCAAGATGAAGTTCACTAGTGCTTTGCTCGCAGCTTTGGCTGTTGGTAAGTCTTGACTTTCACGAATCCTCCGGCTCCAAGAAATTAACGTCGCCCCCCAAAATAGGCAATGCCATCGCCGCTGTGGCAACGACCCTATCCACTGCTACCGCTGTTTCAAGCGCTGCTACCTCCGCTAAGGATACGACCTCTCCAGCGTCTACCGTTGTAGCCACTGAGACTATCGACCCTCCAACGGAGCCATCCTACCCACCAGCAACTGGTACCCCAGGACCAGTTGATCAACAAATCGATTCCGTTGTTTCTGAGCTCAGAACCAACGTCGTCAGCATCAACGCTAGGTACAGTATGTAGAAACACTCTTGGCGGCCTGAAGTAAACATCCCGTTAACAAGAAACTGTAGATGCCACTTGTGCAAGCTCCTGCAATGCCGGCCATATCCAGGCTTGGGGTGATGAGCACGCCAAGGTTGCCGATGTTGCTTTGACCAAGCTCAGAGCTATCCCCGTCGGATACGTTTACTGGTGGTACCCAAAACTGTATGTAGCAACCCCCTTCGTCGTATCATAACGCCGTGCCTTTCTGGACGACCTCATCTAACCTGAAACGATCAAAAAGGGTCTGGAACCTCGGTTGGATCTGGATTGAGATCTACTATACTCTTTACTTCATCTGGTTCCGCGCTGGACTCGGTAGGTTTATCCTGTATCCCGCTCGATAGTAGAGATAGGGGACTAACCAGTGGCTGTAGTCTGGGAATTGATCTACTTCAACCGTTATCTCTGGAACTTCTATGTCTCATGGAGAGCCCTCTTCTGGTACTTCGGCCGATACGGTGGATAGTGAGTAACCCATTCCTGCCTGAACCCATCCATTAGGAATCTGATGCTAATGTTGTTGATCCGTAGTTGCTTCTGGCCATACTGGTACGGATGGTTCTACCGCTACTACTGGGGATGGGGATGGATTTGGTGGAGTTGGTGGAGAATTTTCTGGTGGTGGTGAACGTAATCACCCCATGCTGGGGACCTGGTCTGGTGGCAAAGGGCTTCCGACGAAGCTGCTCTGGATATCGACTAACATTAGCTAGGCTTTCTCTCATAAATGTGTATAGGAATTTGTAGTGAGGATATTAGAAAAAGATGCAGATCGAAAATTATATACCTACCCACAGTTTCCACCTTATTACTAGATTGTGTTCGTAAGCTAGTATACCTGCCAAAGTATTGGGTCACGCTACCCCGCTCTAGCGGCAGTTGGATACACTATGAGTATTCCCACGCAGTTTGCCAAAGAAGGTAAGGGCCTTCGCCGCCTAGTACTTCTTTAGGGCAGGTTACGCAGACCGATCAGTTAATCTCGTACTACGAAGGTCCCCTAAATGTAACCATGAACCTCGCTCCAACGCGAATCTCCTGTTGCATTTTTCGATGCTAGCTTTCAGCCCATGCTGGAAGGCATATCGGTAGAGCCTTTCCATTATGATGCATAGGTCTTGTGGCGAGGTGGATTAGTAGTAAGATATATTGGGTGTCCCTATATCAATAGCAAAGTTAGTATACTGAAGTTTAGTGGATTAAGAGATGTAAACTTAGTTACGCCAATTGTAGTGTACCAAATTCAAGACTTGCAAAATCTTAAGATGGGACCTTGATTAGGATATGTGATAGTTGTAGAATTGGTATGTATGAGTCAAAATTCGAGCTCTGTGAAGCTTTTAGTGAGTAGGGGAGCCTTTGACTCTCGGGTAGCTCACAGAGATTGTGCTATAGATCTGTGGTAAGGATTGATGAAGATGTATGTTAGAGCTCCAGATCTATCTATCTATAGACAGAAGCTTAGAATGAAGAATGAGCAGCAGGATCTTGACCTACTTTGTTCAGAGATGGTTTTGAGGTGTTCCTGTGTTCCAGAATAAACTGTGAGCAATTGGCAGTGCCAGCAATCACACGGCCACCAATCTCAGCACCAAAGCAGGTATTTTGGCCCACAAAGGAACACACACTCTCTCAGCCTTCATCAGCAACCATCTCCCATCGGCCATCTCATCAGCTTCACGCACTCATCACCAGCATCACCGTCATCAGTCTCTCCCGATTTCCCTCGTAGGACCGAAGTTTTGTCTATTTAATCGAGCCGAAGTCAAGATGTCTCAATCAGTTCCTCCATCTCCTATTGCTGTTTTGAAAGCGAGATCTCCAGCTGGCAGACATCCACCTCCACGACCTCCCAAACGTCAAATGTCCGTCATCCTGGATGCACCTTCTTCTCTTTCTCTCACATCCTT